CACTGAGATAAATGGGATATTGAAAATGTATATGTATGTATTATAGAAAACCAGCTATTCGATGTAACTTAGTACGCTTACAATTACGAACAACTAGGAAAAATAAAGACAAGTAGGATCATATTTTTCTAATTCATGAATTAGTATTAATTTGTTTGTAACATACTTGTATATAGATTATTACTTAAAAATATATAAATAAGATGTGATAATTTATTACTTTTAATAACGTTTATATCCTGAAAAGAAGGAAAAGAAAGAAACACCCAAATGAATTTTTATGTCGACTATAGTTCATAAGAATTTGGTAAAAAGAAATCCCATATTTTATATAAAAATTAAAAGATAATTTTCCCTTAGTGTACATCGACAATAATTGCCACAATTTGCTTGTTGCGTGAATGGACAGACGGAAAGTGGCGGCGATTACAAAAGGGGAGTTTTTCTTTCGGCGGCGAAAGGGTGAAAAAAGGACAACTTCCGTTTGCTGGACACGCGGACATGCCCGCTTGCACGTAGATGCACATATATGTACCTGGAATGCAGGGGTCTTTTTTTCAGTCTTATGTCCGCCTTGTGTCATATTTGAGGTGAGCATAAAGCCACTCAACGCCGCCATAAATCAACTGCCCTATGATCTAAGGCTGTCAGCGCGGAGAGACACCAGACAGCGCGACTGAGCGACAGATAGCGACCAAGAATAACCCAAGTCACTAAATTAAATTTATAATAAGCCGACTTAGGAGATACCACACTTAAGTGCTTAAAGCTTGTGTTTTTCATATACAAATGACAACATTTTGTTAAATCTAGTTTTAAACTGGGAGAAAACTATATATTTGGTCAGAATATACATATTTCATATCTTTATTTATTAAATAATTAACGGGTAACATTTATTTTCTTAATTTGGTAAACAACTTTTTGTTTTAGAAAGACACATTTGTTACCTAACAGGAATAGCTACTTGAAATTCGTTTTCCCATTCATTAATCTTGAGTCTTTAACTAATTTATTTAATTTTTAAATTTTAACATTAATTTGTTGAAGGACAAAAGTACGATTTTTTACTTAGTAAGGCATGGTCTTAAACGCTATAATTCAAACTACGGCTAATACCCAAATATTGTTTAAAATAATTCCAATGGTTATGTAAATTATTACCCCTGTCTTATAGTCAATACACCCTTTCAAAGAACATTGCAACAGTCAACGACAGCGACAACTTTGTCCCATAACTTTCCAGACGACAAACAGACAACATCGCCGTTGTCGTTGATGTGAATTGTCGATTGCGATGTCTGCTCTTGGGGACTGGGTCTTGGTCTGGGTCTGCTCTCACCTATGGGCTTAGCTTGGGCTATAGCTTCGGCTTCGGCATCGGTTTTGGTTCAGGTTCTGGTTCTGGTTGCCATTCTCGTTTGAGTTTCTCACACACGGAGGCTTTCCAGGTCGCTGATGCCATTTTGCGGGAATGCACCTGAGCTTTAGGGTTCGCCTTGTTCTCTGCTTTTTTTTGTTTGTTTTTTTTTTTTTTTATGATTCGTTCAGGTCTTCAGCCGACTTCGACTTTGACTTGTGTCTAGACTGCAGACTGCGGACTGCAGACGGGAAAAAGGAAACAACAGGAAACGCCGGCAGACAACAGACGGGCAGACCTCTTTGACAGCTCAAACAACTGAAACGAGCCGACAGCAGCAGCGACTTGCAACCAGCAACTAGCAACCTCAATTGCAGTGCTGCAACATTGCAGCAGCAGTAGCAGCGCAGCAACAATGGGTTTCCACATCCAACATATTGGGCAAACACTGCCAAACTGCGCGAACAATTCTCGGCTGTCAATATTGTCTGTCAACTTTGTCGCTTGTGCCATCTTTCCTTCCTTTATTCTTGGGTCTTTTGTTTCTTGTCAGTTCGGTTCTTTGTTCAGTTTCATTACTTTTTCTAAAATATGTCAAATGTCTGGAGGCGAAATTAGTTTTGGGCTGCTTTTTGGGTTTAAGTTTTCTTGAAAAAAATTTGCCAAATTGGAGGGAGGCTTGATCATCATAGAAACACAATAAGCTACATTGGTAAGTCCGTTTTCAATAGGTCAAGTTATGGTCCCAGATGTCCAGTTTCAAGTGTGAAATATCCATGTTATAAAAATTACCAAAACTCTTGAAAAAATTAAAATGCGGAATTTTAATGAATTTCTGTCATGTTTATCCCCAAATCTTAAAAATAAAAATTGTTTAATATTTTTGATGAGTTAAGCTTATGTTACAATATACGCTTATAATTTTTTTAAACCAGTTTAAATATATTCATATATTACTTCCCTTTCAGGTTAATAAATAATTTATAATAAAAATTAAGTATATTGGTGTTTTAATTAACCTCAAGAAGAAAATGATCTCCAAGATTGATCATCATATTGCTTTCTATCAATTTATGGCATGTATTTCCAACATTACTCTATTAAAAACCCGCCAAAGGCGAAGCATTCCCCCCTTTTTATGACAACCTACTTTGCGCAGGCAACTGTAATTCGCTTTAGTGAATTAACCAGCTTAATTAGTTTAACTCGAGTAGAGAGTGGAACGTGGAAATGGAGAAATTCCCGGCCAGTGATTTGGCAGTTAGTTCAGGACATTGCATTCCTGTCTGTCTGGGGCTTTCCCCCTTCATTTGGTTTTCGACCATGGAGTACGAGGTAGAGTACTCGGAGTATCCGCTGCTGGTGCTGGCAGCCATTTAGTTCGACTTGATGTCGTTGTGTTTAATTATTCAAAACCATGTCATGTCTCTGTATAATTTTATGCATTGGCCAATCCAAGCGCCATGATGAAACTGATGATGATTACGAATAATGATGATGATGATGATTACGATGACGCCTACACAGAGGCGCAAGAGTTAGACGGCAGACAGCTGACACCGAAACTATAGCTACACAACAAAAAAAAATCTTTTAATTTTACCTAAAAGTTGCAAAATACTTTGAAAAATGTTTTATCCAAAATCAGGATTTTATTTCATATATTTTTAAGAATTTTCAACATTTTAATTTTCATAAAATTTGGGTTGTTATTATATACTATTTTATTGTCTATTCAAACGTTTAACATAAAGAGATGGACGTTATTGTTTTTAAGGAAACAATGACATTGACTGTCTTAATTTTTAGCCACCTACTAAATTGCAAAATCGGATTTCCTATTTAACCAAACTTGCAGTCTAAACACAGCCCCAAAAAGTATGCAACGCTTCTTAAACAGGGAGTGCAGCTTATTAAACAAAGGAGATACTTCAATATACAATTTTAAATAATTTTCAACTTAGAAAAACTTGTAAGAAATTATGATTTTTTCGAATATATCAATTTTATTTTCGAGTGTAGAACTACAACTATCTTTCGACAACGCCACATGTGGCAAAGGCAGCAACCGCAAAGCAGACAGAGACGGGGAGTTGTCCAAAGAGTGAGAGGGCGGGAGTGAGAGGGAAAGAGAAAGAGAGAGATAGAGAGAGAGCTGGCTGCACAGGCAAAGTGGCATACCAGACAGTCTGACGCTGTTGGAGCCCACGAATGGGCCAGTTCCCCCGCCAACCCGCTCGTCCCGCTTCTCCCACCGTTCTGCCCCGCCCCTTTCCTCCTCCCTCCCCGATGGCCAGATCTTACCGTCTGGACAAGTACAACGACAATAATAACAACAACCATCGACAACAACGACGACCACGACCACTGTCTGTGGCAGACCGAGACTATCGAAAACTCGAAATTTATTCGTTGGAAAAAGTTGATTTCTGTCGCCTTCTTTTTTCTGCCCACTTTTTTTTGAGTGGTACAAATAGAATTGTGGGTATATAGGTAATTAAATAATACTTAGATTTTGTATTAGTTATTTAACTGAAAGGATTTGTAATTTTATTTTAAGATCATCATAATAAAAATCAAAGCAAAAATTTTACAATTTCATCAATTTTATGTCCGAATATAAACATGTCGTAATTATTATTTACTGGTCCACAAGACATCTAAGTCCATTAACAAATCCATAGAAATAAGCTGTTACATATCTTGGTTATAATACAATAATCATTTCTTTGGAAAGAAACCCCAATTGTGTTTAAAATATTTTTAGCCTTTATCAGCTTCATTTTTAACAATATTACTTTAAGTCGATGGGGAACTCAAAGTAATCTTTTTCATTAATCCGTTTGAACATTGTCTTAATTACTGGATAGTCATTATGTCTATCACTTTCGACAGCTGCTGCATTCTTATTTCTTCTTCTCCACAATCTCCACCTCTCTCTTTCTTTCACTCTCCGTCCCTTTCCCTCAGTCAGTCTGTTGTTTTTACCGTCGTTGTTCGCTTTATTTTCCGTTGAATTGCAAAAAAGGAAAAACGAAAAAAAAGAGATGCCCACGAAAATTATGTTAACCAGCCAGCTGTGTTAAAAATCCCACATCATATCCATATATCCCTCGAACCCCCTTTCCCACCGAATTTTTCCCTCCTTCTCGCTGACGACAAATGCCACATCGCATAAGGCATAAAAATGTTCAGATATGATGTCTGGTACTGGAATATTTCAGGGCAATTGTTGCTGCGATTTGCTGTTTATTTTCTGTCCTTTTGTTTATTTTTTCTCAGTCTCTTTTTTTAACAATTGCGACGTGCAAGTGGAATATGTTTTTTTGGCATTGGTATGCCTCGTTTGTTTTTGAACATTTGTTTCATTTGGATGTTGTTTTAGACAGGTGAAGAAACTATGGAGCTCATTTTTCTCATGTAAGTAAAATCAGATTCATAACTTTTTATTAAATATAAAATTGTCTTTTGAAATGGGTTTGTTTTAAAATTATATAAAATAACCTACATATTTAATGCTTGAATTGTCATAAAGCTAATGTTTAAAATATTGCTGTAAGTATTTAAATTATTCTTATTAGTCCACCTTTCAATTTAAAGGTAATTGATAATGGTATTTTGCTTTTGTCATATATATTACCTACTCACCGTATTTCTGCCGGAAGGATTCGTTGCTGCCCACGTTTGATTTTGAATGGAAATCGCCGGGGGAAACCGAATCCTCCTCTACTTCATAAACTTCCGTGTAAAGTATGAACTCCAGTCGCGATCTTCGCGTGGTTGTTGTGGATGTTGATGATGTTGTTGATGTTACTGCTGCGACTGTTGGATGTTGCTGCGGGGTCAAAGGTGATGCAGTGGTTGCTGTTTGGACCGTATCACGTTTGCGTTTAAAAATACGAGGCACGGTACGCAGAGATGTTGCTGTTGCTGTTGTTGTCGCTGTTGCCCCGGGCACATGTGGCAATGTAGTTGATGTTGCTGCTGCAGATTGCTGCAACAATGTAGCACGTTGATTAATTTGATATGGCAAGACCATAGACGCGGGCGATGCGGATGCAGATGCAGACTGCGACGCGTCGCGACAACGACAACGACAACCACGATGACGATAATGATGATGATGATGCTGGGGATGGCGATGGCGATGGCGATGACGATGACTATATGGACACGGCGTGGAGGGGGGGGATCGCGGTGGGGTTGTACGAATATTTGTCTCGGCACTTGGACTTAAGTGGCAATCCGCACTCGATGCTGGTAATTTATTTTGCAAATTTGTGCCAACAACGAATTGCTCCCCTCGCTGCTGCGACTTGCTCAGAATTAAATTTAACTTACGCGTATTATTTGCACTATTTACACTGCACAAAATTGCACTACCACTATTTACAGCACCCTGCACCTGCGCACTTTCGTTGGCACTTTCACTTTCTCCGCCGCTTCCAGTTGCATTCGATATTGAATTGGTTATCGATTCGCTTGTCTGGCATTTCACACACTTGTCACCGCTTCGTCTCAGCTGCTTTCCGGGTACGCGATTTAATTTCTCTATGACCGACGCCCATAGGTGTGCTACGTTACCGCTGGAACCCCGATCCTGATCCTGATCCTGCTGCAAGATGTTGGGACGAGGAACGCCCGGTCCCGGCATTGGCACCGCGAGGGCTGAGGCTGAAACTGAGGCCGGCCGGAGGAGCGTCGTCAGTGTGGTCAGTGCGAACACCAGGCTGATCACAACCACTGTGCCCCACCACAATGTGCAGCGGGCCCCCGCGGCGCCACTGGCTGCATCTGCATGCGTGGGGGCCACAGCGTCGTCCGCCGCCGGCGATCGGATTGTTTACGCCGTGCTTTCGTCCGGAAATCCCCCAATTCGCATGGTCGAATGCGGTGCTAGTAACTGATCAATATGCGGTGATTATTGCTGCAAGAGAGGAAAACAAAATTCTATATTAACAAATTGTTATAAAATTTCTAACGTGAAAAAAATTTTTTTGAATTTATAGTTGGGTTTTAAATACATATTAATGTGCATGTACAATTTGATTAAGATGAATATTATTTTTAATTTAATAATTAAAGGACATTTCATTGAAAATCCGTTAAAAATAAAAAAATTATTATTTATAATATAATTATAATAAGAAATCTTAGATTCATTTGAAGAGGGGGAAGAGTATTACGTTTTTTAAACACTTATTTTGGTTATAATTCCTTAAACCATTATGAACTTTTCAAATCTGATTACAATTTATATCTTAGACACTTATTTAAATTTGAATTAAAATCGATTAAAAAGTTTAAAATTCTATAAAAATACCCCAAAAGCGAATAGATTTTAAAAGTGGTGGATTTAATTACATCATGCTCAAATCAAAGGCTTTCCCATTTTCCTGCAGTGTTTTTATGCTGTGTGGTCGCCCACTTGGCTCTTGTGTTTTGTCAGTTTCTTTTCTTGTTGTCGCGTTTACTAGCTGCATTTGCTTTTGTTTTGTGCGAGTCTGTCCCTAAGTCTGTTGCAAAGTATCCACCGTCCCACAATGATTCCTCCCGAACCCCCGACGAAAATACATAGTGACTCATGGGCGGGAGAGAATCAGAGAAAGGGGGGCGTGAAAGGAGGAGACAGTGTCTGAGCATCGCCCTGTGGGCATAAATAACCCCAAGAACTGCACCACGAACAACAATAATGTATGTACAAATGCTTAAGCATTGTTGTTGTTGCACGTTGCGTATGCGTAATATTTTGCAGAAATTTATGTTGCACTTCTTTGCGACTTCGTTTTTATTATCATCATCATCATCGCCGACTTCTATATTTAAAGCAGATCAACAGGAACACAAAGAAGTGAGGAAAGCGGCAACTTCTTCGTTATGCACTTTACTTTTGCCCCAACTTATTAAAAACAACAAAAAATTCCGCAAAATTACAAGCAAGTCAAGGAAAATAAGATCGAAAATAAAAACATCAACAAGAATGGGAGAGATAAAAATATAGAATACGGAAGACAGAAGACAGAAAGGTTTTAATTGTCTGTTGTACGTAAAAATAAAGTTTAAAAAAATATGGGAAGAGCGATTTCAAATTTCAAATATTTTGTTTGCCTTGCTAACGATGTTAAAATCAATATTCAAGAAAAAATCTTGATACAATACGTAATGAACTATAAAAAGTTTAGCAACAGCTACATTGTTTTTGGACCTTTAAAGCTTAACTTAAATATCAAAGCTGACATTTAAGACCTGTATAATTTCAGCTTTTATTCCTTTAGGATCATTTGTCCCTTTTATTTATTCTTGATAATGCAACGACAATGTTGCACCCCAATGTGTCTGAGACAGATTGATGCCACAAAACAACAAAAGCATTAAGATGGATCGCATTGTGGAGACGAATCACCGTCAACAACATCAACTTCATCCTCATCATCTCCGTCTGATTCTGTTGTTTGTCCGTTGTTTTTCTTTTTGTATTCGCTTTATTGAAATTCCTTTCAAGTGTCGGAGACGATCGTCATCATCCTGCTATATCCCATATATATATATCTCATGATCACGATCATAATCATTAACAACCTTTGCTGTAGTGTTTGTGTTTGATCTGCATTCGTTGCCCAGACAGACAAATAAAGTTGGCGGGACAGGGACACTCGACGGCAGCTACTGTTTCCCCTTTTTGGAGCCCTCTTGAGCCGCAGCAATTTATTTGATTGCCTCTTCACTTTCCTTCCCCCACTTCGTTTTGGCTCAGACCGTAAGTCGAAATTTATGTTTGCCATAAAAACACGATCTCCGACTCAGAGTCATAATTAATAAAAAAAGCAAAAAAAAAAGAAAGGAACGAAAGAAGACCAAATCCGAAATGCAAAATACGAAATACAAAAAACGAGCCCAAAATGTGGCCATAAAGTGCTGACAAGTGTTTTCTGCCTTCCAACGGCAGACCTCGAACAAAAAGGCTCGCGTGAGTCAAGATCATTTTGAGACAGAGTTTGTTTTGGACCTTTTTTTGTCTGGCACCAGCTGGACTGAATGTGATGGGAATGAAAGGTATGTATGTGGGCCTTTATGAAAAGAAATTACCATACAAAGTAAACTCAGAGCTAAAGAATGTGGCAGTAAAAATAAAATGTCTCCTTCATAAAAATAAATTACTTTTTTTCAATGCTAAAAATATTCACATATCAAATGAAGATCATTAAGTAAACTTAAGAATGCAAACTTTTAAATGTTACTTTAAATTAATTTTTGGAATAAATAACCAAACATTTGGAAAATAGCTCACAAATGCTTTTATATAAAATCTTTGTAAATTGGTCTTTTTAAAATACGCTTGAATAATAGTTATAAATGAACGGTTTTAACAGTGGGTAAATTTTTTCCCACATAATAAAAGTTTTTTTATAATTGAAAAACACTATTTCAAAAACCATAGAGCAATAACAGCAATATCAATAAGCCAAAACATTCACATGAGCATAAGCATTTTCATCTAATTCAAACACATTCCAGTTTATTTTTAAACAAAACGCTACATTTTTGTATTTATTTCTGTGCCGGCAAAAACAAAATCGAATGCTTTTATTTTCAATTTCCAACATATGGAGCAGGGCGGCGGGGGGTAAATCCCAGGAATTTGAATGTAATCGACAGAAGCCGTCTGTTATCGATAAAACACCAAAAAGCGAGCATTGGCATTTGCCAGATAAGCGGGTAAATTCGTACTCGTACATACCAGAAAGTCGAACGCTCGATTTGACATTGAGCAAACGTAAATTCGAAGAATTCCGGCCCAGGAAAAGTTTTCCCAACGGCAAAGAGGAAGAAGTACCGCTGCAAATGCCCCTCGAAATCCCCGATCACGGCACTATTTTGCTATTTCACGCACGACTTTCGAACCCGTGTCACGTCACGCCTCGAATATCGAGCACACTACTTGAGGAATTTCACACATGACAACCAAGTATTTGGACTTGCTCTCGCTTTCACTCACTTTCTATCTTTCTCTCTCACTGCAACTACACCTTCTGATTATTGCAATTATTACGGTATATTATTACTTTAAAGTTTTTCGTACTTTAATGTTGCCAAAAAAAGTGAAAAAAATAAAATCACTTGATGTGAACTTTGGATTTACTGTTGAGATAAGACGCTTATCCCCGTAATATCCGTTACCATATGGCTATATAGCTTTCACCGATCCGATCTAGCCGCCAACCTGCGCCGCACTGAACTAGATGCGATTTTTTTTCGCAGCTAACATAAAAACTGCCCGTTTGTCTCCAATATTTCACACATTTCGCACACTCAGGCCCCGGCGTCTATATAGACGATATATATCCCTGCACTGGTCGGGAATATAGAGGGGGGGTGGAGGAGGGTCTGGGCGGCATAAGACTCCGACGCGGCGACAGACGGGCCTTTTATTTTTACCGCTCATTTTGTTGTTGTTCGCGGGCACCGCAAAAAAAAGAAACACTAGAAAGTAGCAAAATTATTTTTGTACTTAAAAATAAATTGAAAAGCATTTTCTTCATCTGTTTTTGCAACAACGGCCGCAGGAAAATCAAGCGTGAAAAGCGTGCTGCCACTCCTTCCCTCAATTTTCATCTCCACTTTAAAGTCTCCACTCTCTTCCATCTTTAAAGGGCCACACTAAAAAAAAATATGATCATATTTTTCAAATATCAATACTAATGATATATTTCATTTTTTAAATTGATTTTACTGACTGTTATTAAACTAAATTAAGTGTGTTAAGTAAGTAGAAATCTCTTAAAAATGTCTTTAAGATCAGGAATACAAGAAAACAATAAGAATTTAAACTGTAATTAAAGACAGAAGACAGAAAGAGTTGTTAAAATTCCATTTAATGTGACTTAAATATTTTTGTTCTGTGCATCGTAATGTTTTTCTCTTCGAGGATCGAGAGCTGTCCCCCTGCCCCCGTCTTCGTCTCTGTCTGTCTGCCCGTCTGTCCAAATGTCTGGCCCTGCTCATTATTTTGCTATCATCGGGAGAGACGCAGAATCGGCGACAAGAACAACAACCTGGTCCAAAAATACCCTCTAACAGTGGGGTAGAGTAGGATGAACAACGCAGACACAAGCAGCATAATTCCTATTTAAATAGAGAATAAGAATTCTGCAATATTGTTGCACAAACAAGTGCTGCCCGAGGAGCAAATAGGGTGAAAACAAAAATAAAACATTTGCTGGCAATAAAGCCGAATGGGGAATGCTCTTTAAATGCCAAGATAATCAATTAATTGGGACTTTAATTCCTTTTTGTAAGTTTTATTTATGCATTTAATCAATATAATTTTTTGTTTGTATTATAAAATAAAATGTTAATGATTCCAAACAATCATTAAGTTGCGAATTAATTAAAACTTACAAAGACCATTTGAAAAATGTGCATTATATATATCCTTTTCTTAATTTATTTGGTACTGAACTGATTTGATATTTGTTTAAGCTACTTTAACTCAGAGAATTGATAGAATTTGGAGAATTTGGTTTGGTAGTTCAAATTACAGGCAATAACAGTGATAACAAATATTATTAATTATAATATAATTACTTTTATTAATTCTGTTCCCATTAATAATTGCTGGAGTCCTAACCTAAGACCTCTGATCCTGAATTGTTT